AAATAAATAAATAAATATACAAACTTGTCTGTACCACTGAAGTCAGTTGGGCATAGCTATGCATAGGACTGTAATGTAGATTTCTTCATTCAAGCCCTCCAGCCTTCTAATACTCCCTCCTGGAAAATTCTGGGTTCCAGGGGGGCTAGAATGTTAAGGTAACATTCCTTTCCTCCAAACTATATGCAGTTGTGTGGGGCTGGGGAGAAAATCCAGAGGTAAAATTTCTGGGAGTTACAACATCAAGTGGTTGCTTTGAGCTCAGTGGACCTGAGACCATCCTGAATCTGTATCACTGCTGACATCTTCCCCATACACCTGGCTACATAACCTTACCCATTTGTCGCTTTTTTCAGAAAGTGCAAGTGGTTGAACGGACGGCATTTGGTTGCTGTGATTTACTCTGTATCCTACTCTGTAGGATTAAGATAACTACTGCTCCCTTTTCAACTTGTGCAGATAGGGCTGCTTGAAGATGAACAAGCAATGTGACTATATTAAATCAGGTTGCAGAAATCAGACCTCCATGATGAAGACCTGCATTTTGAGTGACACCACCAGGGAACTCTGCAATTGATCTTTACGTCAGTCTTTCTCCCCATCCTTGCTGATGTGGAGTGTTAGAAAGTGTCGAGCATGTATTTATGGGCTGCATACATTAGTAAAGGCTTCCTGATTATCCTTCAACTCTACATTGCCGTTCTTCCAGTTCATCAGCTGTCAAAGCATTTAATAATACAGGCTATTTAATTGGCTTATGTAAATATATGGTACTTGCAACTTACAAGATTGAAGTGTCAGTATTAGCTAATAAACTGAATTTTGGCATGAATAGCACATGTTAAAACAACCAAGTTATTACTGCAAAGCAAAGTAATCACAACCATTGAATTGTGCCATTTTCAGAAGGTTCAGCGGAGAATTTAATCAATATTAAGGCAGTTTAATGTTTACTCAGCTCATATTTGATGAAGTTTATTTCTTGACAGAGCAGTCAAATAACTAGAAAAAGAGGATGGATGACTAAAAATCCACCAGTGTGCTTAATAACAGTTTTACAAAGGCAGAGCCTGTCAACCGCTGTAAGTTGTATTTTGAAAATAATTCAGTGACAACTCTGGGCAGGGAAAAGTTTTGATGCAGCTCCTTAACACTTCGTTGTTTTTCTGGGGCTGATAACCTCTCTCTTCAAAACTGGACATTTTATATTTTAAAAAGGATGAAGAAAAACTTCCACATTTTCAAATATCTGTGGGCACAGTTCAACCGAGGTATTTTTATGCCTGACTTATTTTAATGGAAGAAAATCAGCACTTACATCAGGCTTAAAAGGGCTATTTTTGGATGAATTCATTTGGATGAATCATGGCCACTATTAATAAATATGTCATATGGATGTGTTTCTCGTGTGCATTGTCTTCTTAAAGCTGACAATATATCTATACATGGTTCATTCCCATACGCTTTCATCTTTATTTCCTTAAAGATAAGAAATTCCCAGTGCTTTGGTTTTCCTGATCTTGAGCGATATGTAGAACTTCCCCTTTTATTTATGTGGATATTTCTGCATTGCCAACAAGTGGCATTGTGTTTTTGGTACCCTTAGCCAGAAAAGGGAATTATGTCTTTTTAGTGAGTTCAGGATTTCCCTAAACATTGCTCAGCAGTCTGGCCTAGGTGCACACTCTTCCCTGTTTATTTTTTTATTTATTTATTTATCAATTTATATCCTGCCTTTTTCCTACAAAGGACTCAAGGCAGCTTACATCTCCTCCTCCATCTTATTCCCACAACAACCCTGTGAGGTAGGTTGGGCTGAGAGTCTGTGACTGGCCCAAAGTCACCCAGCTGGCTCCATGGCTGAGCGGGGACTAGAACCCAGATCGCCTGAGTCCCAGTCCCATGCTCTTAACCACTACACCACACTGTTCATGGCACCTCTTGGCTTGTTGTATCTCTGTTGTTCCTCCAAAGCTGCCTGCAGTGAGGAATGCTGTGGTGAAACAGACTCTGTATATACAAGGAGGAGGGTTGGTGTAGGTGGAACCCATCCAGTACCTCTAGAACCTTAGCACAGATAAAATACATGCATTATTTTACTGCATCAGACTGCATTGATATTAAAAGCAGCATCGTGCTTAGTTGTGCAAATTTTTAAACCATGTGTTCTATGCCCATAAGTTGCTTCAATGTTCTTGCCCTTGTTGGCCAGGAGAAAAGGGAAGGTGAGAAGTTGAAAGCAGAAAATCGAGGCATAAATGTATCTGGAGAAAGACTGTCCTTTTTTTAGACCACTTCACGGATTTCTCCATTCTGTGCCAATGGCTTAATTAGGCATCATTTGTTCTTAGGAGACCTGGTAGTCTTTGAAGGAATAAGGAAATATGAGACTTTTGCTCCAGTAATTAAAAACCACTGGCATTTGTTGGATACCTAGCAATCTGGGTGGCTTCCAAACACCTATTTTCCAGTTTAGTCCATTCCTTGAGGTGCTTCTGTGTTTCACACTTCATTTGCATATGACAGATCCTCAAGAGTTTGCAATACACTAGGTGAAAACTTAACTCCTGGCATTCATGGATTGGAATATTTGGACGTGCTCATTTGTTACTTTGGTTTAATGACGGAAATGGATTGCTTGCCTAGCGCTAAAATCCAGCACCATCTTTCAGCTGTGAGGTGACTTTGATGCCAGGTGACATTGAATGAAGAACTGAATGAGTGTTGTGACAAGAAAGCACAGTCTTTAAAGCTACATTGCACAAGCCTGCTTAGCTATTTAAAAGACTGTCCTTAAAAAAAAAAAAAAAAAGGAAAACCTGGCATAAAGAATTGGTGCCAGAAAACAGGTCAGTGTTATCTTTTTTGTACCGATTATAGAAGGGTGCAGTGGATACATGTTTTTATCCATGTAAGTTCTCATTATAACAGCTTTAATGTCATCCTACTGCATTTCCACGCTTTTTTCTGCAATTTCCAATGAGTCCTACTCATGTTCGGTACGTTTTTTTCCTTAAACTGACGTGCGCTTACTTGTTTTGTGGTGCACCTTAGTTAATTAATGCCCAGCTCTTGCCGGAGTGACATGTCATTCTCACAAGTGTGTCTCCCGCGTCTTCACTGAACGCCTGAGCTCTTGGTCCTAGTCCCACTCTTTTGGATGTTTTCCCCTGAGGAAAGGCATTCTCTCCGCAATCCTCAGTATTCGGAAAATTCTGCTTTGGAAAAGCGTTTAGGCAACTGCAGCCCTCTGAGGTGAGGAAAGCGGTGAAGGGGGTCTTCTCTTTCCTTTCCCCACCCTTTCCCTAATGGGGACTCATCATCCACCTTGTGCGCAGCCTGAGTGTCGCATGTCTAAAAAGAAGCAGAGGAAGCGGAGATACAGCACTTTGGCCACTTGTGGCATTGAGTCCTCTGGGACAGATGCAGGTCTATTCTTATTTCCACCTCCATTTCCCAGCCCACCTCCGAATTCCACTTCTGAATATGCCTTTTATTTGCTGCAGCTGCAGGGAGATCTGTGGGATCAGTCATTCATGGGAGGGAGCAGCTAAATCGGGTGGTCACCCCGAGACTCCGGATATTTTGGACTGCCAGAGCCACCAACTTTGACCACTCCAAGACTGGCTAGAGTTTATTTGTGCTGTGGTGCAAAACATCTGGACCACCTGTGTCTTAGATCCTAAGAAAAGCCAAATGATCTTTCTCATCTATTAGTATTAATATTACAATATTTTACTCTGGTTGTATAATTAAGCCCTGCTTGAGTGCTTGGCATTACAATAGACTAAGATCCAAAGGTCTGTCCTATTTGGCCAGAACGAAACTCAGATGTTGCGATTTGATTGACTTGCAAATCACAAAAAAAAGAATTAAAGGCAGCACTTTTAGCTGGCCACCTGCAAGGTCCTTGACCAGGTAAGGTGACTGCAGGGTGTTTTCAGGATGGGAAGGATAGCTGAATGAATGAGCAGAGAGAGAACCAGTTTTCTGGGCCATTTGACTTGAAATCTCACGAGCACAGAACCATATTCAAATTCATAGTAGTTTGTAGAGATACTTCATACTTTTTAGGGAATTCAATAGCTTTAAGTTCTAAATGTATGATATCTTTGCTGATCTCATGTCGGGAAAAGCAATACCGATCCATTCAATATAGGAATTTTTTAGTCTTACATCTTGCATTCATGAAGTCCCAGATGCTTGACAAGTCAATATTATTTGTTGATGCTTTTGAAAGTCTCGGTAGTACAGAGGATTCTTCAGCATCCTGTTCCTATTAGTGTTCTTTTACTAATTTATTTATGCAGTAGATTTGGAATATCTGCAAGGATAACTTTAGCATGTGTATTTAATTCATTTTCTTGGTTGTCACTTAATGCCAGTTTGTACTCTCCATATTTCCCTGTGCTTGACTATTTTAGATTGTAAAGTTATATTTTTAGCCCGAGTTCTATTAATCAAAATTATACTGCCACATAAAGCAAAGTCAATATTAGGTAGTGACCAAGTATGTTTTCTTAATTCATTTCAAGAAAATAAGATGACATCTGGGAATTTTTAATGCAAAAGCACTTTCAGCTGAATAATTGTTTCCAATGCTACTGAGAAGCTGCAGTTGTCTTGTAAAATGAGAAACTGCAAGGTAGCTATCACAAATATTTTTAAATACATTCTACACTGTACTTTACATGAGAAAGTAAAAGCCTTTAACATAAGAATTGCAGAAGTATTTTTTAATGTTTAAATACACTTCGTTTTAAAGAGATGTGGGTTATCAGCCTTCCCCAAACTACACCACATATTAAATCATTTTTAAAACTATCATTTTGAGATCCTGTTTTTCTCAGTCCTACTTTATCCTTTTGAAAATATCTTACTGGAAGAGAGTTGGTCACATAAAGCACTTGCAGACAAGGAACTATTTTTAAGACTGTAGAATATTGTCGGAACCGAAGAGCAGAACAGGAGAGACAATGACCATGTTTGTTTTCTTGTAGGAATGTCAGCTCGGCTGGAGAAGAAGCCCGCAGAAGAATGAGAGAGTGTGATGGACTTACTGATGCATTGCTGTATGTGATTCAGTCTGCTCTAGGAAGCAGTGAAATTGATAGCAAGGTTTGTCATCTTAATCTTTACAGAAAAAGAATTGTAAGGCACAAGGCAGTGTGGAGGGACACCAAACATCCTTGAGGTTATATAATGGTAAAAGTTAAGTTTTAAGATCTTTTTTTAAACAAAAGACTGTACTATATGTTTGTTTGCTGTGTAAGTCTCCCATTCTTTCTGATTCCCTTCATACTCTAGTGGCAGATGGTTTCCGGGATATATGTGATAAATGTCAAAAATTACATTTGCCTTATATTTTTCAGACACAATGTATAACCAGAACAGAAGAGCGTTAAAGAGTTTGACACTTTCTACTTGGCTTCAGAAGATTTCCTAGCCATGTGTGCTAATCAGTTCTAAGTTGATTAATTGCTCCAAACATATTTCAGACCCAGTGTGATGCCGCGTTTATGGTGTCAAAAAGCACTGGTGCAGTTCCCCACCTATCCATGGGGTGAACTCAGGCCAGACTTCCCAGCCTGGCTCCCTCCAGATGTTTTGGGCTTCAGCTCATCAGCCCCAGCCGCCATGGTCAAGTGGTGAGAGGAGCTGACTGCCTTAGCCAGTTGTTCTCTCTCTTGCTCCCACTCTCTGTCAACCACACCTACCTCACAGGGTTATTGAAGGACAAAATAGTGGGAAGGAGAAGTAGCCATCTCTTGGAGGAAGGACTGTATATAACTCTAATAATAATCTCCCCTCCCCATTTTTTCAAACCACCAAACAATTTTGTTGGAAACTATACATATTTGTTCACATGCCAATTTATGTATGTATGTATAGATTTATTTCTATACCACCCCACAGCCAAAATTCTCTGGGCAGTTACTGTTGCCATCCCAAGACGTTAGTGGTGGACGGGGTAGAAAAGTTTTAAATAAATAAATGTTTGCCAGACAAGAAGCAATGAAGACAGCAGCAAGATATTCATTCATTTGTGCCCCCCCCCCCCCCCCCCGCAGCCCCGTCCCACTCCAGGACCACACAGTTCTCCACCTATCAAACTCTGGTAGCATAGTATCAAACGCTGATACAGTTTCATTATTAAATGTAATTTTAACTTGGATTCGTGCTGGAGAAATAAAACCATAACTTAACTCTCTTGGCAGGGTAACTCTGAACACACTGTTCAATCCCCTTCCCCACTGGCCCATGAATGGCACAAAATCTTATCCTACGCTTGTATAAGTAATCCTTGAACTCCAAATCCCCACCTGGCCCTACACCTCACCCCACCCCACCCTGCCTAATGGTGAGGGCTGACAGTTACCCAGTATCGGGTAGATCGCATCCCGTTTCTGTGCTACACTGAGTGCTTGAACGGTGGACGAGAGACCTCACACAGATCCATCTGCCTTCCGCAGCGATGATAGGCCTTAAGGCATGAGCTCAGCTATTCAATTCCAAACGTCATCATTTAGCAAAAAGAGAGGAGTCTGCCATTGAGAGAAATGAACCCTTTTAGATCTCAGATTATCTATATGTAATGTGTGTCTGAAGTACTTATGCATGTTCAGTTTTGCTTTTCTGAACCAAGGCAGCCAATGCTAGACCCATCAAGACCCTGGGTAAGAGTGAAGGAAGCACAACACCGGTCATGACGTGCATCCCTTGCGGGAGATCTTACAGCTCCCATTTGTGAGACGAGCGGCTTCTTAGCACCTAGAACTTTTCATTTTGCTGAGAAAAGCAGAACTGCCTTGTGTGCATGCAAGCAATGACGGGAAAAGGGCATCCGGCAGAGAGGATTCTTTGTTCTGCGAACTCCAGCTGATGCATCGCCCTCCAGCTGATGTGGTTGCAGATTACAGTATGCTGCAAAATAGTCCGCCATCAATTAGCAGGCAGTAAAACAGTCTGATCGTCCAGATTATCACTGCTGTCAAGAATACAGTTCATGCAAAGCTGTTTCTGCCTCCATCAAGCAATGCTTCTGCTCCCTGCTGTTTCCAGCAGTGAAGAAAGTGGGGGCGTTTTTAACTTGATTAGTTGCATAAAAGCTGAATCAATGGCTGTGTATCAAAGCTTCCTGAAGCATTGAAATCCTTGAGAATTGGGCCCTCTGAAGTTGTTTTGATCAATAAAATCCACGCTATTTCCTTACATGACACCAGGAGAGGGGAAAATCCAGATATTTCTGAATCTCCTTCCAAGAGGCATTTGTTCTTAGAAATATTCCTTTCAACATTTGCAGGATTGTCATGCTACTTAAAGCTTTAAAGTAAACTAGATTTCCAGTTCCTGCTATTCAAATGAGACAACCAAAACAGTACTTTACACGGCTTAGAAGTTATTTATATATTAGATTTATATCCTGCTTTCTTCTTATGAACTCAGAGCAGCTTGCACCATTCTCCTGCTGCTCACTATCTTATCCCCACAACAACAACCCTGTGAGGTAGGTTGGGCTAAGAGTTTGCAACTGGCCCCAGGTCACCCAGCTGGCTCCATGACTAACCCAGATTGTCTTGTGCATTTAACCACTACACCACACTGGCTCCAAAACAAGAGAATATTTTTCTGAACTTGTTTTGCTCACCTTAATTCCATGCTTCTACTTTAACATGAATTTCAAGCATTTATATTTCCTTTGTCATAAACAGGTTTCAGCCATAACATCATGACATCGTAATTATGCTCTTTTGTCTCAAAATGAAAAGTTTCTTCAGCTTTTAAAAGCCCATATATAGACTATATTCAGCTGACATACCAAAGAGTCATATCAACACCCCAGCGCATAATTATTGCTGCTTAGTATACCTTGCTTTCCACATAATTCTGTTAGCTTATGTTAAGCCAGAGGTGCCTCTACACCTTTTTTTCCTTAAAAGTGATGTTATGTGAAACATCAAGGTATAGAGTCTTCCCACACATGTGTTATGAAGCATGCATGGTTGAACACTCCAGGGGCATATGTCTTCCTTGCCCCTCGCTCCTGCTTTGCACGTACCAGTTTCTGCACAGAGATCCGGTTTATTTTCTTGGTTTCTTATTATCCTGATTAAACCAGGGTTCCCTGGAACTGAGGGACTCTGGCTTAGCACACCCATTGCAGTCTCTGTGTAAAAGCTGCATGCAAGTGGAAGAGGGAAGTGCTGAGTGATCCACAGTTCCAGAAGTCATGATCCAGTCCAGATCCACAGTTAAGAAGCCATGTTTATGAAACAGCGGCCAAATATCAGAAGGCAGCCAGTGTGAACAGATGCCATTTTGCTAAGATACAGTATGCACTGGCCTACTTATGCCAAAGGTGAGGCTTGTCATCATGATTCTGCGTGAATACGGCTCCATGCTGTCTCGGGTAAATAAAGCTGCCCAGAGACTTTTAGTATTGGGATGGCATATATAAACTTTAAATAAAATAAATAAATTTGCCACCCTGAATTCAGATCTGCATGGTTGCAAGGAAACTGCTCCCAAATTGTCACATTACTTCCTGTACTGTGCCCACCATTGTTCTGAGTACGTATCAGGACGATGGGGGTAAATACCTCCTTTTAGCAGTTACAATTTCAGCTGACTTTGCTCTGATATAAAATCGTTCTCTCATCGTATTTATTTGTTTTCTCCATATGCTGGGTCTTTAGTGGAATGCATCTTTTAACATATATACTGCTGGACCCATAGCCACAGTCCAATATTTACTGCAACTTAAATTCTGTACAGAGCTCCGCGTCATTTCTAAAATGCTCCACCTGAGTACATTTTAACAGTGGATGATTTCCCAAAAGCAGCGAGCAGCCTCTGTTCATACATAGTAGAATCCACGCTTTGCGCACTGCTGCCCATTTAAGGGGCTCTGCTTTTCACTTCACTGAATCAGAGAAAGTGTGATTTTGAGTGAATCATCAAGCTATAGGGTATTTTTCAACTTCTAGGGGCAGATGATACACTAACTCCTTTGTATTTTCAGGTTTTGCCAAAATAGGATGTGTTTGCATGGCCAAGCTATTAGCAAGCACCATCAATTTCAGTTTCCCAGCTTGACTCCCAATTTAGAATATTTTGCTGGAAGCGATAACAATGCAAAGAAGTAGAGTGCCATTCCTGAGTCGTACTAAGAATCAGGCACATCTTGGATACCCAGTGGGATACTGTATTAATCCAGTTAACTTTTTATGTAAAATTTCTATGGAGCTATCTGTACAAGTCGCTTTACAAAGTACAGATCCGAAAGGTCCCTGCCCAAGGAGCTTACTGTTTAAAAACAGAAACTGTTGTGGAAGAGAAAGAAAAGAAGAATTCTTCTGTTGTGGAAGAAGAAAGTGTCACATTTATGGGATCTGTGGGGCTATTGGTTTAGCCCCAAATCTAGAGAACTGGAGCCGAAGATGTGTTAATGAACATTGCAAACACAATTCCACAAAATGAATCTTTTCTTATTCATAATTATGTAACAGGCAACATAATTATAACAATAAAAAATGTTACAACTTGTGCACCCAAGACCTTGGCAACAGCATTGATAACAGAAGTTGCTTGTAGAATTGAAAAGTTCAAGTGTCCTTTTGAATTCAGATTCAAACCAAAAACTGCAAGCTATCTTTCTCAATTGGTTTGAGTATCCACATCATGGAAGAGTTAGCTCCACATGCAGAATCTTCAAAACCCTGGAATAAAATGCCAATGCAAGTGCATATCCATGAATTCGAAACGTGAATTCACCCCTCCAACACAAACGTGTAGGAATTACACCTAGACCAAGACCCCAAGTTTAAGTGGCAACGGCAGCTCCTGCATCTTCAGTGTCCTGCTCTCTCTGATTCAGATTTCTTACAGCCCCTCTCTTTCTTCATCCCACCCCTTTGAGCTAAACCAATATTTCATAGGAGTTACGCAAGCAGAGGCTACCCAGGGGAAAATGTGCAATTATTTTAATTACGGTACTTCAGCTTCATTTCAATAGAATATTGGGATGTTCCAAAGTCTTCCTGGAAAAAAGGCCCTTTGATGAGGGATTTGAAGAACACAAGGTGGCATTGTGGAGGTTTTCTGGGAGGCAGTTCCATAAGGCAGAGTAAGGGAAAAAGAATAGCATTTTTTCAGGAAGCAAAAGACCTTTGGATGGTTGGCGGTGATGTCGCTGGATCAGCAAAGGAATCAGTATATTAGCGAAGAGATACAGGATGGAGGAGCTGCTAAGATGTTTGAAGAGTCTGACAGTAGGAATGAAATGATTGTGTGTTGTGTGAGCGGATAGAATTTAAGGAAGGGGGTCTCTTGGTCAGAGCCATGAGAGAGGTGAACAATTTGGCCAACAGAATGCTGGGTGGATGTGAGTGGTTGAAGGTGAACCATCAAGACCTGAAAGACGGAGGATTGCTGTAGTCCGCATGAGAGATGCCATAGCTTGAATCAGTTTGCTGAGAGGAGACATGCAGGAAGTGTTGCATTTTTGTAATGACAAGAGAAGCAATGTGATTTGGCAACAGATGGAATACAGGCTCAAGGGAGAGAGAGAACCACTTTAAGCCTCATCTGCAAGGTGGGCAGTGATGTATTAATGAACAGGGAGGGTGAATGAGGAGTTGGGAGGAAAGCTAAGAAGGTCCGTCTTAGACACACTGGGCTTGTATAAAAATGAGGCATCCAGGCTGAAATGTCAGAGAGACACTTGGAGATGCCGGCTGTGATGGAAGGGCAGTGTCCTAGGGTACAGAGCCAGAGTTTGATTTCTTCTGTTTATGGGTGGTATCATAAGTTATGGGATGTAAACAAAGAAGATGGCAGAGGTTCCTTGAGAGAGCCCGGAGAAGAGAAGCAAAACAGAGGAAGAGCTTCCCCCTGTGGAAACCTTGAATGATAAACTGGATGGAGAGAGAGAGGACCAGCTAGTAGGAAAGACCTTGGACATGATTAGGAAAGACATTGGCACATTTAAAGACAATAGGGAAGAGGCCAGGTTGGTTGGTAAGGCAGTGAAAAGAAGACTGAGGAGAAGTAGTCATTCGAAGATGGGAGGGGTAGCATGCAGGGATGAAAGGAACCTCTGTTGGGTTTTGTCTTGCATGACTGGGAAGATCCAAGTAAATGTGGTTCTCTCGGTTCAACTGTTTTGCTCTCAGTGCATTCTATAACAAACAGTTAGATTGTCTCTGAGGTATACTTCTCAGTTTCAGTATGGATTCTGTGCCGAAGAGCAAATATCATCCCTGGGAGTCTTATGTGCACTGTGTGATATTTTTGTCAATCTTAGAGACAGGCTAAATTGCAAATCTATTATTTCCCATATTATTTTAAAACTCTGGTAGCTGAGATAGTTGAACTAAGCAGCTTACGTGATTAATGATACTCTTAAAGACACTTGGCCATTCCATGGTGTTTTCTTCATTATGAATCCCAGCAGGGTTCGTGCAAGAGCAGCCTATACCGCAAGTAGCCTTTCCCCTCTTTGTTAAATTTTTAATTGGCCAAATGCACTGCTTGCATAGCTAGATCCCATTTATCACATTTTAGCCTTTGTTCTGCCCTCTTTCACACCAGATTTTCCCTGAAATTTGTTCAGCCTTAGCAGTCCAGTTAAATAAGACCTTGCTGCATCCTACATGCTTAATCAGGGGTGGTTTATGGGAAGATGGGTTGGAAACATGCATTCACATGTTCATGGAGAATTTAGCGTGATTAAAGCAGGCTTGGTGTTCTGCCCTTCCCTTGTGTAAGCACCGTCCTGCCACCTTGATGAATATCTGAGCTGGCAATTTGAACAAAAAACGGTCTGGGAAATATAAATTGTGATTGGCTAGTGTAGGAAGCATTAGGCCAGAAGGAATGCCAAATGGGAATGTTTCAGGCCTGGTGACTTTTCCCGATGAATATATGAATCCTAAAGGGATTTGTAATTTGTTTTCCCCTCCCCTTTTTAGACCGTTGAAAACTGTGTGTGCATTTTAAGGAACCTCTCATACAGACTCGCTGCAGAAACGTCTCAGGGACAGCAGATGGGGACGGACGAACTAGATGGCTTACTCTGTGGTGATGCCAATGGAAAGGACGCGGAAAGTTCAGGATGCTGGGGCAAGAAGAAGAAGAAGAAGAAATCTCAAGATCAGGTACTGAAATTCCACGCCTTATTCTACACCTTCCGAGTAAGGTGTTGCCAGGTCTACTGGGCCCCTTGTTCATGGCCAGCCTTTCAGAAGGCCCTGAAGGCATCCTACGTGGCTTTGGCCTTCCCCTGATCCATTTGCTGCTAATTTTATTGCTGTTTCCACTGGTCTTTTATTAATCTTTAAGATGGTATTGGTTTTCGTTGTGCGTTTTACTGTTGCATGGCGCCTTGGGATTGCTCCTGTCTTGAAAAGCCATCAGGAAGCATTAATTATCGCCACCACTGCCATCGCGTTGTTCTCACCTCCACTACTCCTTGCGGTAGTCCACATCAGTGCTAATTCACTCAGCCAAAACCAAATTCTGCAGTCTTGCAATAGCAATTCAGGGATCTTCTCTGCTTTCCATTAAGAACAATCCCAGCTTCTTATGATGACTCTAAAATGCTTGAAGGGTTCTTTTGCCTACTCTCACCCTCACCACACTGTTGCTGTAAGGACCGGGGCTTGCCAAATTCAGCATTCCGAAACAGTGCCTCAGAGTCTGAATCTGAACTGGGAGAAGAGGCAGGTGCAAGACTCTTGGCTGGAATGCCAACACCAACATGCCCTGAGATAAGCCAAGGGTCTGGGGAGACTCAGACTGCGCCTGGTTCTAAGGAAAACACTGCTGAACAGCCAGAAAAAAACAGGTTGCATCTAGCACTCCATCCTTTCCAGGGGCTGCCAACTCATTTTCAACTCACTTCAACATCTTTTTCCCCCCATGCAATGAAGCCGAAGGAAATTTAGGTATTCTCAGATGAACTGATGGTTTCTCTGGAGGCCTGAAGACACCTAAACAGATGCCGCTCAGTCAATTTCAGTGGCACTTGTAATTCATAACGGAGTGCAGGATTGTATGCCGTCTCTATTCCCTTTCTATGTTAACAAGGTTAAGACTTACTTTTTATTTTGCAGTGTTGTTTAAGTTCTGTTGACTGACTCTGAGTGTCAAGGTTATTTGTAACATTTTCCCCTGTTCACTGTGGCCTACAGAAACTGAGCTCGCTTCATGCCCAGTTTCAGAAAACCTTTGGTGTACTGATTCTTCAATGATCTTGGTGTAAATTCACAGAACACCAACATCCTTTGAGGATGCTTAAAAGAGAAAAGGTCCTAGGTCTGTTGCATGGCCCACATTAACTGAAAAGGCTTGGAAAACACAGTTTAACCCAAAATTTTTAAGTCACACTTGTCCGTTCCTAGATAAAAAGGTACCACTTCGGTGGGCAGGTAACAGTGTTCCGTGCACTTTGGTGTTTAGTCATGCTGGCCACATGACCACGGAGACTGTCTGCAGACAAACGCTGGCTCCCTCGGCTAGGAAACGGAGATGAGTACCACCCCCTGGAGTCAGACATGACTGGACTTTAATGTCAAGGGGAAACCTTTATCTTTTTTACCTTTTTAATAGCTCCTAAAGAAGCATTATAGCATGTTTTCTTGATTCTTTGAGGGAAATGTGTCAGGGCTATTCTGTCTGAGAGATTTCATACATACTCTTTGAATCAGTATTAGATTAAAATATAGTTATTCTCACAGGAAAATAGGTTCTATCTGTATTCCACAAGTACACAATATCAATTTAGCTTAGCCAACCTGAACCATGTAGTCATAATTTTTATATGGTCTCTCATTTTATCCACTATTGATGCCTCACTGGAGTCTGCAGAGTCAAAACAATGACCACCTTGAAGGAGAAGGCCCTTCAGAAACACAATACCAGTCACCTTTGCTTATTAGTTGCTTTTGGCTAGAAGTGAGGTTTAGCCAACAGATAAATCATTTGCCAGAAGCCCCATGAGATATATATTTTTGCTGTCCCATAGCATTTAATTCTGCTGGCAGAGTTTTTCAGAGCTCCCCAACCAAAAAGAATATATTTTCTGCACGTGCAAAGCCACCAATGTGAGTTTTCCCTGAAAAGCAGCATGCACTGTTTTAAAAACAGTAGAAAACTAGCATGTAAAAAAAAAAAAGATGTATGCTGGTGTTTTCTTGTCTGTGCTAGTTCTTGCTTGTGTGGGCACTGTTCTGGGGAGCACTGAAATAATTGAACAACAGCTGCCATTCACCAGTCCTGTTGCTCTTCGGCTTGCCCACTTCAAGGCCAGAAAGCTCACACGTTGCTCCCAGTTCCACCACAGAATGTCCTCTGCTAGCTAGCGCAAGCGGGTGAGAGCTTGTCAACAGGTGGACCCAAAATAAGGTGGTATTTATTTATTTAGTTATTTATTTGGGAGATTCTCCAGCCTTTGCAAAAGCATATATGTTTAGGAAAGAAAATAAATTTCTATTTTTAAAACTCTCAGAACTGCCCAGTAAGAACAAGTGAGCTTACAGGATGCTGATGTCAATTTAGAAGAAATGAAGAAAACAGAAGTTAAGGGCCTGATAAAAGACTGAAGAAATCACAACGCAAGTGGACCATGGACTGGTTCGCATGATGGTGGACATTTTGAATATTAAGCTCCAAGTTTCATGGCAGTTGTATAACCCTCAGACAACCCCTGCTTCCCAGATTCAGAGACACAGCAAACCAAAGCAACCTTCCGCCATGGTTGAAAATTCAAAATGGCCACTGGCACACACCATGGCCCACCATGGCTTAAATAAGACAGGCCACTACATCAGAAGGGGAGGCTCATGTCCAACCGTGTTTCCTCCCCTTTCTGGATCATGTCCATTCACTCAGAATATGTGTGTGCCAGAAAACTCTTCAGAGGCTCTTCTGAAGGTGGCAGGATCTGTTATTTAGTTTGGACAAAGAAAAACAGAAGGAAGGACATCCATCTTGCTACCAACAGAGCCCCTAAAAATAGAAAGGTTGATACTCATAGTCCGTTCACATGCACTGCCCATTGGTGTTTATGCTCTGGACTGGAGCAATTAATTATTTTTATTGAAAACTATTTATTTTCAAAATATTTTAAAAAACAATTTTAAAGCTGTTAATTTCCTATGAGACAATAAAAGAGTTGTTAACAATTTCAAATGTATAACTGAAAAAAACAAGGTTTTATCTTTGGCTCTGTAAAAATGCAAGGAAGACCCCTCTATCAAAGGCCTAATTCTCACAAACAGCGCATGTGGATAAAGCCACTTCAGTCTCAAGGTGCATTTTAAAATACCCCCTCCCAAAAAATGAGATGAGTTTTCACTCAAATATACTGATATTTTAAATATGAGTTTTGTGGAGGAAAACTCTATCCTGTGAATTCTTGGACTGGGTCTACAGTCCAGGCTCACTATCTCATCAACTGCACTTGAAAAAACAAAATGGCGCCATTCTACGCAGCAATGCATGTGACCGGCTATATATCTGTTTGACCTTATGGGGCAGGATACTGGTTTGTTTGTTTGTTTGTTTATTTAACATTTCTATGCCGCCCCCATTACAACAAAGCCTCAGGGCGGCTCACAACATCCAAAATAAACATAAAAATACAATCAATAATTTAAAACCTTTGGTTTGGTAAAGTAGCTTTAAATGTATCCTGAGAACCTTCATTTGGGTCATGCATGGCCTTGACATGCATATAACCCAAGATTCATAATTTATATTCCTATGGAAAACTCAGTCTGTCATGAAATAATGTCCAACTGAAAATATATAAGAAAAAAGGAGACTTGTTTATGCTAGAGTTGAGTGTGCCTGTTAATAATGCACAAGGGCATTATTGTTCTGTAAGGGGAAATCATGCAAGTTGGACAGGAAAAAAAATCCTACAACTCTCATCTTCCTGGGAGTTGTAGGACTTTTTCCTAGATATATATGTATAGGATTTCACCCTTGATTGTTTAATTTTTTCAGGTACATATGTATCTCATGCACATGTTCTGTTTATCAAACCCAGTGGATGTCTTTCTCTGGATCCTCTGATTTTCTCCAAGTTTAGTGTTACAATTTCTTCCGAATATATGTGTGAGCTGAATCAGATCCAAAAAAGTATTTTCCTTCTGGGTGAACCTCCTGAAATCACTATGACCTTCTTTTTATCTCCCATCATGAATCACAAGCTATAACAGCAACATTTCACTGCCGATAGACAGGGAAATCATGCTTAAGCAAACGGGCGAGATAGGCTGTAAATCTGAATGCATGAGAGGATAAGGTTCAAATTGCTTAGGAAAAGAATTCCCACATTTTATAGGCTGAGACTCGCAGATGGAAAAACAGTGTGTGTATGGCTTTATCATCATGTATGTCAGGAAATAGGAGAAAACTCCCTCTGTTATTTGTCCCTAATCTGAGCTTCATTAACAGCAGCCCAAATACTCCAAAAAATGCCTCCAAATACTTCCGAAGCACACATGCAGAACTAATGCGAGGCTTCTGGGTTCGGGGATGGGTCAGTATGTTCTGCACAAGAGCTGGGCAGCCTCAGGAATGCCCCAGGGGTGGGGGGCATGCCCCGTCCCATCCCCACACCCTCTGTGCCTCTGAGATTTGGCAGCATAGCATTGTGAAAAGTGGGGAAGCCAGTTTGCGCTTTAAAAAGGAGGCGCCGCCGTGCTGGCACATCGGGGCATGGCAGGATGACCGAGAAGGCCCGGGAGGTGCACACAGCCTGCAGGTTGCCCTCCTCTGTCTGTGCTGTGGTGGTCCAGGCAGGATTTTTGATGCAGACACAGAGCCAGGAGTACAGCAGGCACATCATGGGGACGGAGGCGATCCTGTTTCCCGCCAGGCACGCAGTCTGTGAAACAGAAGTGTGTCGGAAGCAGAGATCGTGTTTGAATAGAGGTAGGACTTTAACTACTAACTGGATATAAAATTAATATATTCAAAATTGCATGTTACGATGGATGGAAGCAGTGGAGTAAAAAAATTCTTTGTTACTGACCAAATAGAAGATTTTGTTTGAAATATATCTGTGGTCAAAATCAGTTAGTATCTCTGAGATTGGAGAACAATGAACACACTCCTTCTTGTATTAATGGGATAATTTTCATGCACCAGCTTTTCTGGTGTGCTTTCCACTTTGTAAGCCCCAGCCAAGAGTCAATTAGTTGTTTTAATTGACTGCCGGATTCAGCTTGCTTCACATTCTTTCCCAGTTCGCCCTTCTTACCCACAGTGAGCATCCTTTTCTGCCCCTCTCTTCTGTGTGGCATAGTGGAAGTTTCATGTGAGCTACAAGGTGAATGCAGTAATCAGTAGTTTCCTTAGAAAGTTTGTAGTTAATTTCCTGATAAAGTATATTTTCTTCATGTCTTTCAATTTAATTGGAATGAGATTCTTTGAAGATACGCTGGGCGGAAAGCTGGAAATAAAAGAACACAGGTGGTATCAGTGCTGGCAAAACTTCAAGATATACAGATGGACCAACAAACTCACTGGCTTAAATCAAAGAGAGCATGCAGATATTCTAGGGTTGATGCCCAAGTGCACAACTATCAGTTGATGACTGCTGAATTAGGTGGTGACTTGCATGTATCAAATGGTTCTTCATTCATTTCTATTTTTTAAGACTTCTGCATTGCCTTTCCAAGGGAAGCCCTCAGTGCAGTTTGCAAACTGCGACAACAATTGAATATAAAGTGGAATAAAAACAACTTAAGCATCTCAGCAGAATAAAACATTAAAAACCAGATGAACTATCACAAGGCCAAACACTGTAGCCTGAATTTTCATGTTTCCTGTCGATTTAGCTTACACATTCAATTGTGAATCTCCAAACATTGACTTGCTATGACACGCATGCCTGTATGAAGCAGCCTTTAGAAATGCAGATTAATTCTCAATAGCCCACTCTGCTTAAATTATATATTAATGTTTTCCAATGCTCCCCGCACCCAGTTCTTCTCTGTTTCTGCTTTTCTTTTTATTTCTCTTGTTTCCTAGCTGAGCCAAGGAGAGTTTGCGTTTCTGTCTCCTTAGCATAAGGTTAAAAAGAAATGAAATACACCCTTCATGTTTTCTCCCAGGATCCTTTTGCCAGTTCAAACAGGCTGTATTGATCAGTCGTATAGATTACAGTTATACAGTCACTTTTCCTGTAATTCTTTGCCCCAGCACTTTTAGACTTCCTTTATGACCGATTCCTTTATAGCTGAGCAGAGAGTTATCCTGGCTAATGGGAAGGGAAGAAACTTAATAATAAAAGAATAAATAACATGTAGCTCAGACTGCAAACTTGAACCTTGAGACTACAGCCATTGGAAGAAATTTACTTTAATGCTGTATAATGTTGCACTTTTCTTTTTGTACAGAAGTACATTTTCTTAATAATGTCACAAAAGTTCCAATACATTTTCTCTTAAACGGTGGATATATTTGGTTTGGAAATGTTAGAGCTAGACTTCAGTCTGGTTTCATTTCTTGGAAACTATAGGAGGATGCAGTTCCTTGCTCGCACGTCATTTCCCTTTCCTCCCACCTGTGCTTCCCCTGCTCCCTTCCCAAAGACGGAAGGCTGTGCTCAGATCCTGTTGCATGTAGGAGACTCAGTAGCTCATTATCTTACTGTTTATTCCAGTTACATTCAAGACGTCAAACAATATTCAAGACATTTCACTTGCCTAATTGAATTGTCTTACTTCTATCTTCGGTCAGATAACAAAAGAGGTGGCGTCAGTTTTCAGAGAATTGGGATCACACAGGATGATAAATTTGACGTTCCTCTTGAAGATTACTCTGTCTTTTATTGTACAAAAGATACAAGCCAAGGCCTGTCAGAACCCTGCTAGTGCCTGGGCTACCCTCCAGAGAAGGGGGCAAGCTGGAAACCTGCAGTCTGCTAAAAATCCCGCCCCCCCCAACCCGGTTTTTCATAGGGGACTGGGCCCTGCATTCTCAGAGGAACTGCCCCCAGGACTGATGGGGAATGTGACCAGCTGTGCTCCCTCTGGGGAGGCCTTTATTTGCTCACCTGAGCAGCAGGATAATAAGTCCCACCACCTTTAGGGAGCCACTTTAGCAGGATGCAAAGGCAAGGAGCATCGCTCTGATCTTTCTGTCTAGTATAGTTCCCATATAGCTCTCTGTTGTTGGTGCTGCTTGTGGTGGTGTTGTTTCATAGCTCACCTTTCTTCCTTTTTCAAGGAACTCAAGCCAGCTTCTCTCCATTTTCCCATGGGCACCCTAAGGCCTGAGGATATGCCTTGGAGGGGAAATATGGGGCCAAGTAGAGGAGTCTGTTGTGGACTTGTCAGTGGGGTGGCAAGGAAAAGGAGACAGGGCACTGGGAGGCCAGTGCAGCCCAAGTAGCTACTGGCCATGCCATCTTCTGCTCTTCCTCAAAACTGCAGGCTTGGTGGTTGTCCTGTCAGCTGCCCTCAGCTTTCCTGATGCTTCCTTTAATTGCGGCACCAGCATGAAGCAAGATCTTCCCCATCCATAATGGATGCGGTGGCCAGTCTGGCCTGCGTGCCCAAGACCTAGACAGGTAAACAGGGAAGAGTGAGCCTCTTCCCATGACACCCAGGAAGATGCTTGGTTGAGCATCAGGATGGACTAGCTGGCGCGCATGGGGGGAGAGGGACGTGGCACGGCCAGTGGAATTTCTCTCTTTCCTGCCACGCTCCTTGTCCATCTGAATGCGGTCCTGGAATGTTTGCATCTTGTGCTGGGCAAGTGAGGCAGGTTAGGGATTCTGCTGGCATACCAACCTGAGCTGACAGTGAGGGTCTTGGCTGCAGTGCTTTGGTCCCACGGGCACAGGATGTAAACAGCCATCCTGAGAGCACCTGCCTATCTGGGGCAGTTCGGGGCTTCATGGATTCCATGACAACCTTGAGACTGCCCCATCCAGTCATTAGCCCAACACCTGCTTCATGGCACAACCTAAAGTTCCTGTTGCAGGTAGGCATGGGCAGGGCACCAGTGAAGGTCATCCACCCTCATGGATCTGGATGGTTTCCAGAGGGCCCCTGGGGCTTTTCCAGCTGGCACATCTGACATGTCTGTCAAATCCCCGGCTGGCCTCTCCAGGACTGGGATGACCCAGGCCGTTGGCTCGGTCGCTCTTGAGGACCTTCTCAGCAGTGGTGCACCCCAGAGCGGAGAGCGATGGAAGCCAAACAGAAGAAGGCATGAGTGCAGGTGGAGAAAAATGCCTTGGTATGTCAGGTACATTTAGGGGCAGTGAGCATGGTAAAGAAATAGCTTCACTTTGGTATTCACCTCTAAATTGCTACCATATTAATGGACCAAAAAGCTGATAGGTTTTTGGTCAGAGTAGCATGGAAAGACAGATAGAAGATCGTGTGATGCTTAGAACAGACATTTATGCCTTTCAGTCTTGCAGAGTATTTGTTAAAGATCAATGTGGTTTCAGTGCACCTGACAGTACATTTTGTTTAACATGCTTCTCTTTCTTTCTGCTACATTTTGTGACATGCACTTTTTCTGTTCTCTTTCTAGTGGGATGGAGTAGGTCCCCTCCCCGACTGTGCAGAACCACCAAAAGGAATCCAGATGCTGTGGCATCCATCCATAGTCAAACCCTACCTCACGCTTCTCTCTGAGTGCTCGAACCCAGATACGCTGGAAGGGGCAGCAGGTGCCCTGCAGAATCTGGCCGCAGGTAGCTGGAAGGTATGAAAGCTCTGTCTCCACTTGACCACTCCTTAGGAAACCTGCCACAGGTGTGTTGAGCCAGCTTATGCAAACATCACACACAGCAGTCCAGTAGGAATAATTGCAGCTGTGCACAATGAAAAGGGAGCGCTAGTTGTTAAGTTACTAGCAAACATGTTGGCTGTAAGATTTTCCTATCTGGATTCTATACCTTTATGTTAAGTGTTAAAAGTCACAGTCGTAATGTCCTGGCTGTCTCCATCGCTTGCTCGAGTTAAACAAAGCAGCCTCCTTGAAGGCTATTTAGTTGCACTGACCACTAATTAACATTCTTGCTTCAGCAGAGGGCAAACTTCAGTGAAAAAACATAGGATAATATTTTTTTATGGGGCTTGGGAATGAACCAAAGTCGCACCATTGACTTTCTGTGAGACAAGGATTGATTCTGGAGAAAATCCTTCCTTTGAACGTAATTAGTTCCACCCCAAGATGCATGGGCTGAGGTGGTGTAACACCGATGTGATTTAATACATTTGTTTCTGTATTGTGCCAGTGTGCTTTATTTATGCTATGAAGCTGTTAATTCAGCGTAGTAATCTATATGGACCAGGCAGTAGAACGTGTGATTTATCCTGCCAGAGCTTGCTAAAAATAGCCCATATATCAATAAGATGCATGGTTTGTCATGTCCAAGGTAAGCATGTTTGACCAAACAATCACTCTTTGAAATGGGAGGTCAGCAAACAAAATTGGTACAGCTGAGCACTGAATGAAATAATCTGCTTACCTAGAAAACTTGTGTAGAATAAGCAGTGTCTCTCTAAGCTTCTTCATTCTGTCCTGTCAGTTTGCCTCAAATGCATTTGACCCTGAAGGAGACTGTATCCAGCAGAAAGGAATGTGCCTAATCCCCCTAGTATATCCCTTGCTTAAGCACTGACATTTAGTTTGCTACTTATCAAGGGCACTGTCTTTCTATAATGTAAAAAGATACTTGTATGCAAAAATCTGACTTCAAATAGAGCTTTATACGACATCAGGAAATACTCTCGAAATAATCACTTGCAGCAGCAACTAGCAGTAGTTTGCGATTTAGCATGTCAGTGAAAGTGCCCATAACATACAGCAGACTTGGCTAATGCAGCCTCACTTCACCAAAACTAATCTTGGAGTACTTCTGAAAATACTCAGCCTCAGACTTTGGTGGGTCTTCCTGCGGAAGAGGATTACAGGACCGTGCAGTATCGCCTGCCTGCCGCAGCCATGCCTCTGGGCCGTTTTCTCGTACAAAGCCAAGTTTCTCTGCATTTAGGTAAAGTAGGGAGCTGTCTACCTGGGGGATGGAACCAGATGCTACAGCAAGTGCAGCACTTCCAGGAGAACAGAGGGGACTCCATGATAACCACTCTGAGCCGTCTACAGGAAGAACAGGATATAAATATATAAATAAGGCCGGGAATGGTGGCCGAAGGAGCCCGTTTCACGTTACTGAGAAAGAGAGTTCTGCAATAGAGAACCAGTGATCAGCTGCTTGAGCATAATTAGGAGCGAAGTGTTTCAAGGCAAACTGATGTGCCTTTGCACTTAGGAAAAACAGCTGGCTCGTTCAGATCATCTGCATCCCTAAGATCTGTGTTTGATTTGCCTTTGTCACTCCGGCAAAGGTGGGAGGATACTTTCAGGCAGCCTCTTGTTCTTCCTGTGAACAACCCACTTGTGATGTAAGCACGTATCTGGGACCTCAGAAATTGAGGGTGCGGCCTGAGAAGGAAATTTCCTGGGGTGCCTTCTCCATCTTGTCAGTGGAGGAGTGGTTAAGCACCCCTTCTATCAGAGGAGCCCCTCCTGAAGCTGGTGTGACTCTCTGGCTGTGGGACCTTTTTGTTTCCCACACCGTGGAAAGCTGGCCCCTTAGGTCAAATTAGACTTAATTTTGCTGGAAAATAAAGCTTGGCAAGGGTGCTTTGCAATAACAGTGCCAAACCAAGCCATAACGTTGTATTACAGTGTTTTCCTCCTTAATTACCATAACTATTTTGAGAAGGAATGCTACTAATGAAAGGGGACATCATGACGCACTCCGAATCTTCAGAGCAGTGCCTGGTAGTTCTGCCCCACAAATTCCATTATCTATAAAGACTCTCAGAGAATTTAATCCAACTTCCATGCGTGTCTTTGACAATTTAGCAGCAATTGGATGCAAAAGAAATAATTCGTTTACTACAGTATGTAGTATGCCTCAAGCAATCGCTGTGAGGAAGAAATAAAGAGATGGCCTCTCCTTTGCCCCCAGGCTCCACCTTCCCAAGCTGCTTCCGACGCCACACACATACTTTCCCTGGTTTCCTTATGGCTTTATTTCTTCCTCACAGCGATTGCTTGAGAGCTGGTCTCGATGCTCCTTTCTCCTCAGCTCTCTGCGGCCTCATATCCAGTTCCCCACCTTGTGCACGTATAACTGGCGAAGAGAAAACAGGCTTCCTCTCTTGAGACTTTCAGGGGAAGCTGCTAACACCTGATGGCTGTTAGATTGAGGCAGGAAGAAACAGGATTTGGCATGGCTCCAAGTCAGTCTTGTTGCCTGGAACTTTCTGGAACTTTGTCTGAGCCACCTTGAGTCCCAATCCCTGGGAATAGGCAGGATATGATTAATCCCGTGGCATATGTTGTGTATAACAAGGTCTTTTTTCTCACATCTCAGAGTCAAAAAGTACAGTTAGTGTTCCTTACTTCTTAATAACATACTTCATAATGGCGACCTGCTGTTCTGGTTTCCAGCACTTGCCCCTTTTTCATTCCCCCTTGTATAATATTTCTTGACAGTGGTCAGTATATATCCGCGCTGCTGTACGGAAAGAGAAAGGCCTGCCGATACTAGTGGAACTCCTTCGAATAGACAACGACCGGGTAGTATGTGCGGTTGCAACAGCTTTACGGAACATGGCCTTAGACGTCCGAAATAAAGAACTAATAGGTAAGTTCTTACATCTTCCCATATCTTATTTGAAAGCCATTTAACTCCCTTCACCACAGTATGCTACAAATAAACTTAGAAATATGTAAAATATAAATGCTGTCCTGTGAGAAATAACTATTCAGTGTTTAGTCATCATTAAGATGTTTCAGAATTTGTTTTCTTCTGTGTTCAGTTCAGCTTTAATTAAGAGGAAAAGCATTGGAACATTAGCTTGAGCACTTAAGACTGTGGGCACATCTTCCTCTCTGTGTGTGGTGTGTGTGTGTGTGTGTGTGTGTACACAAATTGGTGATTATCTTAAATGCACATGATCTTAGATTTTGTTCATCCTCTTTTCATAATAGCTGAGAAGGGACAGCAGAGGATTCAGGGATATAATCGGAGGGGGTGGGAAGCACAATGGGAAATGGGATTCCACCAGAGAAACGAAACAGAAGATTCCCCAGTAGTTCCCACCCTTCCCAGAGGGTTTTAAAGCCTGCAGAGGGAACGGAGAATACCTGAAATCCACTTTCTCTCAATGCGCCTCATAACAAGAGCAAGCTGGGGATTCTGGCCATACTGTCTGCAGCACATAATGTCTACATTAGCATTCCTCTGATTTTCGTGTCAGTGGGAAGTGCAAAATCAATATTGTACTTGCCGACCAGATTCAAGCAATGAGAATAGATCCATTTTAGAAGGCTCCTGAAACTCCTTGTGCATGAGACAACATTTATATCCAACGAATATTCTTTCAGTTCATGTGCAGGTACCTCACCATCTGTCCACTGGTGGCCAGTTTCAACATGAAATTATAGATTTTCACTAAGTAATGCAAGCTATCTCTTAGATCTCACTTTCCAGGAATGATTGTTGGATGTTAAGAAGCACTTGGTTGGCAATCAACAAACTGATTTCTGGGAGCAGATTCTCCACTCTCTCATCTTTTAAAGGCAGATCTTTTGCCATCCTTTGCTTTAACTGCCAGTTGCCTGAATTTGATTCTCCTGTGGATAAATACAGAAATTATTCCCAATACAATTAAAAGAATATTAAAGAGTAAAAGACCTCATAAAAGACTTCCGTTTCTTGGTAGGATACCTTTGGTGTGTTTTTTTTTTTGTTTGTTTTTTTTTTGAAAGCTGCTCTTCCTAGTCTTACTCAGGATTTGAACGTAAACATGTGACTTATCCCTTTATCACTCTCACACTCTGATGGCTACATCAAGAGGCAAATCAGCATTTATTTCTTTATACATACATACAAATATTCCATTTGCTTAGCCAGAGGCTCTCCACACAGTTGACAGCCTCTTAAATAATATGCCCTGGCATTCATCTTCAAATGTTATTTCAAAAATTTAGATTACCTTTGTGAAGTGTTTATAGAAGAGTCCGTTTTGAAATTAATTTAACAAGACCAGAGTTGAAACCAATTTGTCATTAAATAAATTGAGGAGAGGAAGATATGCTCATTTGAAAGAAGAGGCCGTCATAAATCACCCATCCCATATTGTGTACATGAGCATTCGTATTTCCTCATCTCTTCCAAAACATAATGTTTTTTGGTGGAATCAACTGAATCTTGGTCCGCACAAGCAGCAAGGACTACAGGTGGGAAATCATGGAAAACAGGACAGCAGGAAGAATACATATGCTCTTCTCTGTTATTTTCCTGGTCATTTTTTTATGGAGGAGATGTGAAAAGACACAGTTCTTCCACCCGGAGTCTAAAATGTTACCTTCCCGGAACAACAGTACCTTTTGATAAGCAGTTTCTCTGGACCAGACCTCAATGAAAATCCTTCCAGTGATTAGTTAGGAAGTAATGGACGTGTATGTGAAGTTCCATCTACAAAGGCAAATGAAGAAGGGGCGGTAACCCCTGGCTGTTCTTTCATAAAATCTGTGGGGTTTATTTATTATTTACTTATTTAGACCATTTTTATGCCACTCCATTTGCAAAAAGCCTTGGGGCATCTTACAAAACAAATAAATCATGGTCGATTCCATGAGAATCATGGTTGATTCCATGAGAGACCTGCCATTTATAACTTCATGTTATATTCACAGATAGAAGACCATAGTGATGCTCACACAGTGAAGGTCAGGTGTCTTGCATAGCAGGCATTGTACCAGGAGGTGGAAACTAGACTAGGCCATGCCAAGCCGGCCAGGTGAGCCAGAGAGGAGGTGCCTGTGGTATCACTCAGCTACTGGTAGCCTCCAAGAGCTTCCACGAAGTGCTTGCCTTAGGCCCCACTTATGTGGAAAAAGTAGCCCTGTCTCTCTTCGGACATACACTTCTACAGCACTGGTAGGTTTCCTAAATTCCTTGCTGCTGCCGCTAGCAAAGTTGTGGCAGCAAATGTGGAATGCCGAGCTCTTATGAGAGAGGGAGATGCTGTGGGTGTCAGTGGAAGAAGAACATGATTCCGAGCAGATGGCGGGAGTGTGGTCCCTGTTCTAGAAGTCTCCAGAGGATCTGAAACACTCCCAAGTCAGAGACGATTTCACAGAGAGTCCTAACAAAGGAGCTTCGCTGGACACACGAGCCTGAGACAGGTTTTCGGTAGCAGACATTGTCCTGTGTCATCCCAAGCAGGAGAAAGTATAGCGACGCCTTATCTTCCTCTGCCCATGAGACATGCACAAAAGTTCATAAAAATTGCAGTCATTGGGGGAAATAATTTACATTTTCAAAAAGTGTTATTTTAAAAAGAAAAGCACAAGTGTGCTTAGCATAGACTTTATGTTACTCTCTAGAACAGGCCCAAAAACTGCTCAGGATTTATTACTTCAATTCAAAACCAATCTAACTGATGGAAGACACATGTAGAAAATAATTGGTGTTTTCTTGCACTCCGCCAACAGTAAAGCAACTTCAGTGTCTAGGCATTGTAAACTCGGGAGGCAAAGGTCGTTCTTTGTGGTGTCTAAGCTTGTTTTTTCAGTAACTAGATCATAAAATTTTCTGTATGTGCAACATGAATTTGAAGACAACAGTGTCTTTTTTGTCTTGGATATTACAAACCTGCAAACGGGTTTCATTTTTAGATTGTTAAATTAATACGAATGTATGTAGACACCTGAAAATATTAGTACTGGAATAAATGTTTATGTGAAGGAAGCTCGGAATATATTCGCCAATGCAGCCCAGTGTTTATTTCGAGTCAGTATTTATTATCTTTCTGGTACTGTGTTTGCTGTCAGGCTTCATGTAACAGAGCACAACTCAGAAAATCCCTGAGCAAAGAGAGGAATAAAGTTGCTCCTCTCCAAAAGGATCTGCAGGTTTAGTAAACAAAAAGTTAACCCTTCTCTGCCTACCCACTCTGTGGAATCAAAGTTTTTGTTTCAAGCTAGTCATCAGCTAGGATGAACTTATATTGCCCGTTACACAGCTAATTCCTCATCAGTGTGGAAAAACCAGTGTGCTGTAGTGGTGAGAGTGTTGAACTGGGATGCAGGAGCTCTTGGTTCTAATCCCAGCTTGGCCATGAAGCTCGTGAGTGGCTTAGACTAGCCACTGTCTCTCAACTTTAATTGAATGGAGAGGAGATGAATCATGGGAACCACCTTGCCTTCCTTTACAAACAGTAACGATGGGGTGTAAATGTAATTTTAAAATTATTTATTTACTTAGGGCACTTGTAGGCTGTCCATCACTGACGTCTCTGGAGGGATGGTATTGGCTGATAGGCCAGCCCTTGTCCCCAAGGGCATTCTGTCAGCCAACCTATTACAGAAGTCAGCTCCAGGAATCGGGAGGCATCTCTGTAGGTTCTGCTCTCCTCTTGCACAGCTGGTCACTAGGCTCCTGCTGCCTTGTACAGCTCGCACGGCTGTGTGGCACACCCTGGAGCAGAGAGCAAGGAGGCTGCATGGGAGCCAGTCTGAGTGCAGATGAAGGAAAGCTCCCAGTGGGTGCAGTTGGGCATATTTGGTGGCAGTGAGGGCAGCAAAGAAACGCCTCGCTGCCTCTATTCAATCTTCCAGTGGAGGCTCCTTGGACCAACCCTACTACATGCCTGCCCTAAGGACATTTTAGACCCACCTGAGGCCTGCTGTAAGTGCTGGAGAAAACCTCGGGGGGGGGGGGTGAGTGGTGTCTCATGCTACCTGAAAGTGGCGGCAGTGAAACCATTTCTGAAGAAAGAATCCCTTAGGCCAGTAGAAGGTTCCTGGGGTTACCAACCAATTCTAGGCCCTCTTGGAAGTGACTGGTTCCCTGGATCCATCTCAGGTGTGGTTCAGGACTGTTTTTGACACAGAAATACCATTGGTTGCCCTGTATGGTGACATACGCTGGCAGAGAGGTAGAGAGTGTGACTCCTCAGTGGCTTTCCTTTCCACTGACCATGGCATCCTTCTGGGGTGACTCTCTGAGTAAGGGCCAGGGTGCTGCATTGCAGCGGTTCCACTGGAGAGCCATCTCCGGAAAGTGGTGCTCTGGAATATTGTTCAGTCCCATGGATTGTCCAGCATGCAGGTCCTCGGGGATCTGTTATGCCCCCAGTGCTATTCAACATCTATATGAGCGGGGACATCTGAAGTTCTGGGGTGTGTTGCCATCAGTACGCTGCTGACAGGAAGCTCGATTTCTCCTTTTCATCATCAGCCAGTGAGGCGGTGGATGTGTCAGAGCAGAGACTATGACAACGGACTGGATGAGGTCTAACAAACTGAAGCAATCTGGTCAAAACGGAGGTGATGCTAGTAAGAGGTTCCTCTGACTGGATGGAAGATGCTCAAGCAACTCTGGGTGGGGCTGAGCCCACATTGAGGGAGTAAAGTCATAGCTTGGGTGTCCTCCCTGAGTCTTCTCAGGTGGCCATAGAGGCATGGAATGCTTTTTACCAGTTCCAGGTGGTACAGGTATAGGCACACCTGCACCCCTATCTAGACAGGGTTTGAGTTTTCAGGCATTTTTTGTCTTGCATTGCATTGTTTTTATTCATTTCTTTCACTTAGATAAGTTTATGTTCTCATTAAAATGCCTGCAGGGCATTTTCT